CATGCACTCTAAAGTGTCATCCCAATGTGAGAGATAATCAATGTGGACATGTCCATTTCCACAGATCTTATTATTGGGAACAGTCCTGGAAGGTATTGCTCCTGGTACCTGGATGGCACGGGATCTGGTATCTAGATGGCACGGTGGTTAAGAAAACCTGGGTTAGACTACTATGGCTGTGTAAGTCTTGACAATTTCTGTGTTTCCGGTGAATGTGGAAAATGAGAACACTATCAAACCTGCCTCCTATTGGCTTCTGTGGGGCTTAAAGAATAAATGAGTTCAAAGGAGCAGAGCAATTAGAAGATATTAGTGCTCCAACAACTCTTCGTGAATGAAGCTACTAATGCTGATAGCTAGGCAACTCCCAATTGTAAGAATGAGGAAAGTGAGGAGCTATTGCCACTTGGTGCAGAAATCCACTCCAGGAGCTAAGATTCTGCAAACCATATAATCCGACCTTATGGAATCCCCTCCGGGCCTCCCCGCTCCTGGCTGACTCACAAGGTGCAAGTTCAGCTTCAGCACCTTTTCAGTGTAGCTCGCCTGCCCTCCTCTCCACAGCAACCCAAAAAACCTGTTATCTCCGGATGGGACCAGGCTGCCACGCATGAGCCCCTTGTGGGATGGGAGCTGATGGGCCTCACCAAGAGACAAGGAGTGGACTGTTCAGTCAAGGGGAGAAAGGAGCATCAAGACGCTCTTGGAATTGAAATCTGTCCCCGCCGAAGTCCCAGTGGGACCAGGCAAACCCACTGCACACCTGCCTGTAATTCTGTCCCCCAAAAGTGTGGATGTAGGTGGAAACACATTGAATAATCATGGGAAAAAGCTTAAACAAAATCAGGGTCATCTCCAACACTAAGTAAAATTGCACTGCTCTTAAGAGCTTGAAAATCTAGCTACTCAGGAGACAGATCTAAGGATCACGATTCAAAGCCAGTCTGGGCAGGAAAATCTATATTAGACTCTTCTCTCCAATTAACTACCAAAGATCTAGAAATGGTGCTGTGGCACAAAGTAATAGAGCACTAAATCTTGAGCAGAAAAAGCTCAGGGACAGTGTCCAGGCCTTGAGTTCAAGCCCCAGAAATGGCACCAAATAAATAAATAAATAAGCAGGGATCAACAGTACTTGAGACCAATATTATTCTCTTCTTTCCAACATCTTTCAAAGTAAAAAAAAATAAAATAAAAGAAAATAAACCATTTCAGAAGATGATCAGGATGGAAGTGTGGCCAGGATTAGTTCCTAGAGACAAAAGACCGGCCAGGCAACCGTAGGGATTTTCACCAATTCTCATCTTGCTCCCTTACTTTAAGCAACTTTATCTCTCCCAAATCATTCAAGAGCTTCCCTCCCCCTCTCTTCCCAGGCCTGGCTCCGGGAGGGTCTGTGACTCTCGGAGAGGGAGGGGAGACCACGCCCAGGAAAAGCACCGCCAGGAAGTCAGGTGTGAGCACAACTCCTACCACTCCACCACCACTCCACCACGGCTGCTCCGTGACACTGGCAAATGCTGTCCCCACCTCTGACTCCCCAGAACCCCAGTCAGGCCTGAGCCAACAAGTCCCACAGCCACTCCTTGACTCCCAGCAAAGCCAGAGAAAGGTTAAGAAACGGGATTGACAGGTTCTACATCCTGGCCTCTGGATTCCCCTGGGGCCTGGCACCCTCCCACCCCACCCACCAACACCCTCTGGTTCCACCCATGATGCCTCTCACCCTTTCTTCACTCCCAGGATAACAGGCTCCGGCTCCACTCCCCAAAACAGCTTCCCTACCAATTAAAGATAATTTGGGACATATTGCCTGAGATAGACCGAACTGTACAAACAGTAACTAGCTGGAGTGTATATAAAAAATTAACTCTGATGCCGGGTGTGGTAGCAAATGCCTGTAATCCCAGCACTTGGAGGCGGAGGCAAGAGGATCGTGTAGCTGGGGCTACCTCCGTGAGAGTCAGTGTCATAATTTAATAAATAACCTCCTAGTCCAGAACTCAAATACCATCTCAGTAGCAATCTGCCTAGAACCGTCAGCACTTCCCTCATTTTTGCTCTTACTTAGGACCAACCAGAGAAAGCCAAGAACATTCCCTAACCAATCACACAGTCTGCCTACTGCTAGTAAGCAACCTCCAGAGTCCCAGATCAGGTGCATGGGAAGCCCACCCTTACATCCTTTATCTGACTTTCCCACACCTTGCCTGCCTTCAGACCCCAGGAAATGCAGGATGGGGACTGACTCCCTGGCTTGAGCCAGCTCTGAATAAACAGCCTTTCCCCTGTGTTCTCAGGTGGGTGGTCCTGGTTTATTTGCACAACACATTCCTAATTCAAGCCACAACTCCCACCCTCAGGAGCTCTCAGTGTAATTCACAGTCCCACCGCAGCAGGGGAATGTGAGCAGCAGAGTGCAACAGTTAAACTGTTATGTGGCCACAAAGAGAAGGGGACTGCACTGACCAGCTTCCCAGAAGGAAGGGCTGGTTTGGCCATGCCCAAAGATGCAAAGACACACACTGCAAAGCACTGTGGGAGAAGAAAACAGGCCTCTTCTCTTCTCCCTTTCCTGGGGGCAACTTCTATTCAGAGCCTGACGTTATCCACTGAGGCACCAAAGGAGACATCTGTCTCATCTGGTTTTGCATTTTCAAGTTCCCTCTCGATTGAACAACGCTCTCAGTCTAAAACATGTTTTACTCCCTCCAAAATCAAGTAAATGCTTCGCTCCAATTCCTTCTAACTTTGAAGAGTGCATTGCAGCCATATGGTCTGCCCTGCTCTTATGAGTTCAAACCTCAATATTACCAAAAAGATCCACAGAGATACAAAAGGGAAGTAAAATAATAAAGTAGAACGCCTGAGGGGGCGGGGGGAGAAGCAGGGGCAGACTTGTGAGTGAGTCTGTGAGTGTGTGCGTGCACATGTGTACGTGTGCACATGCACCAGTACAGGGGGCCTAAACCCTTAGGGTTTTCACCACAGCTCCACTTCCAGCTTTTTGCTGGTTAAATAGTTAAAAGAGTCTCAGTCTTTCTTGCCCAGGTTGGCTTTGAACTTCAATCTTCAGATCACTGCTTTTCAAGGTGCTAAGATTACAAGCCTGAGCACCTTGCTCTCCTCAGGCTTCAAAATCTGATCAGGTTTCCAGTGATGGCCCAGTCTAGGTCACATGCACACATGTATCAGCCACAGTCCAAACTCTCTATTAGATTTCACCTGTCCAAAAGCTATGACAGTGCCTCAAATTCAAGATTCCCAAATCAACTCGTCATTTTTCTTCCCAACTTTTTTTTTGTCCTGTAAAACCATTTATCCAAGTCACTCAGTCCCCAAAGCCTTAGCATCCTCCTTCCTCTTCTGTTCGCTTGTACCTTTCCACCCATTATTAAGTCCTTCCCTGCACAGCTCCTTCCCCATGAGGCCCTCTTCTCCATCACTATTGTCATCCTGTCTTCTGCTAGGCCAAATACTGCAATACTGGCCTCAATGGGCCCTGGGCCTCCAGGCTTTCCCCATACCGTTCACTGTCAGGAAACCAGCCTTGCAGCAAACTGGATTCCCCAAAGTGGTAAATGAAGGGAGAATGTTTAGTAAGAGGAGGCTCGAGGAGGCAGCTTTAACTTTCATTTCCCAAAACTCACCGCACAGCTTTTAAGAGGGGGCCCCTGGGTTGAGGATGTGGTCACAGCCTAGAAGAGTCCCTGAATTAAATCTCCTGCACCAAAAAAAGGAAAGTTGAAGCTGATCTTGGCTAATCACTAGCTGTGCTCAAGCCATCGTAGCCTAGCAATTCAGTGGGACCACACTGATGGATTTTATGCAGACTGCCAAGAGGCAGGGAAAGAAGTAATGACACCTACTACAGCGTCAGATGTTGCAAAAATAGCCTCTCCAGAAGGTAGAGCCATCTAGAGAAACACCCACCAGACACGGTGAAAGTCACCAGCAAAGAGAAGCCACAGCCACAAAGTCCATCTGTCTCTCCTCATACTAGAGTCCCTTCCACTGGCTTCGCCTACACCTGCGCCTGTCTTTATTCCATGCCACTCTGGGGCAGGGGCATGGCGATGCCACGGCCTTCACTTGTCTCCGTGCTGTCTAAGGCACCGAGGGAAACAACACCTACCACCACGATGCCTCATCAGGGGCCCTAGCCGGCTGTCCTCCCGCAGACAGCCTAGGGCCCAGCACTGCCCGGCACTGCCGGCACTGCCGGCCGGCTGGACACTCCCGAGCAGGGAAACTCCCGGGCCCTTCTTCCTCCTCGCCATATTGAGCACCGGAGGGCAAAAGGGAAATGCAGAAAGAAAACCCACCGCGGGCCAACCAGATGACAACAGGGCTTTAGCCACCGCAGAGCCAGAGTCGGAAGCCCGACTGAGCAGTGGAGCGCCCTCCCTCCCCCTTCCCTCCCCCTTCCCTCCCTCATCCCCCCCCCCTTCCTCCGTCTTTTCCTTCCTCTTCTCTTCCCCCCTCTCCTTCCCCTCCCCTCTTCCTTCCCCTCCCCCCTCCCTTCTCCTCCCCCTCCCCTCTCCTCCCCCTCCCCTCTCCTCCCCCTCCCCTCTCCTCCCCCCCTCCCCTCTCCTTCCCCCCTCCCCTCTCCTCCCCCCTCCCCTCCCCTCTCCTCCCACACCCTCACGCCGGGGGCGGCGGGGGGGGGGGGGGGGCGGGCAAGGCTCCGGGCCCGGGACGCGGCGCGCGCTCTGCCCAGCCCGCACTCCACGCGCGCCCCCGGAGCGCGCGGGCCCGCATCCCGGCATCCCGCGTTCCCGGGCGGCCCCGAGGCGGAGGCGGGAGTCCCTCCTGGCTCGGGGAGCTCCTCCTTCGCGATCTCCAAACTCTGGGGCGAGCCGCACCTGCGCTCCCCGCCCGCCCAGCCCAGGGGCGGGGAAGCGTCCCCGCGTCCCCGCGTCCCCGCGGGCCTCGCCGAGGGGATCCCCCTCCCCCTGCCGCCCGCGCGGCGCTCCCCGCCCCCCGCCCCCCGCACTCACCGTCGGAGCGCGGCGCTCCCGCCACGCCGCGGGCCGGGCCGAGCAGCAGCAGGAGCGGCAGCAGGCGGCCCGCGCCCCGGGGCCCCCAGCCCATGCCGCCGCCGCGCGTCCCTCCCCGCGCGCCCCGACTCCCCCTGCGGCCCTGGAGGCGCCCAGATAAGGCGGCGGCCCCGCGGGGAGGTGGCCGGCCGGGCAGCGGCTTCCGGCGGCGAGCCCAGGGCGCCGCGGGGTCCCCCGGCCCCCGCTCGGCCGGCACGCCCCTCGGTGCTCCCAGCCGCCCCTCGCCCCTGCACCTGCCGCGTGCCCGGCGGGCGCGGCCCGCCGCCACGTTCCTCCCGATGGGGAGGGGGCCCTGTGCGCCCCACGCGGGATCCTGCCGCTCCGGGGGAGGGGAGGGGAGGGGCCGAGGGCACGGGCAGAGGAGCTCCGGGAGGACGTGCCGGGAGCTGGGATGAGCTTGGCCCCAGGGAGGTGATGGGGCGCCGAGCTCGGGGTCACTCCGGCGCGCCCGGCGCTAGGAACCGACGCCAGAGTAAAGTGAGCCGGGAAAGAGACAAAAGTGTGCGGAGACGGAGGCCCCTAGGTTCAGTGCTGACTACAGAGTCGGGGAAAGAGACAGCACGCCGCACTTGAAGGTGTCTCGTTGGACCGGGCGCTGGTGGCTCACGCCTGTCATCCTAGCTACTCAGGAGGCTGAGATCTGAGGATCGCGGTTCAAAGCCAGCCCGGGCAGGAAAGTCCGTGAGACCTACTCCAATTAACCACCAGAATACCGGAAGTGGTGCTGTGGCTCGAGTGGTAGAGTGCTCGCCTTGAGCTGAAGAGCTCGGGGACAGACTTCAAGCCCCAAGACAGACAACAACAACAAAAAAAGGGGTTTTCGCTTGGGCAACTGGGTGAGATCTAAGGGGAGTGGGCACATTGGGGAGCAGTGGCTGCAAGCAAGTCGTAGTAAGACCCAAGTTGGAGGGCTAGAGCTTGTATTTGTGTAGGTTACTCAAGTGCACACTGGTCCCCAAATCTTTCCTGGGATTCTCTACTACCAGCTTGTCCTGAATTCTCACCACGGGAGAACACACCCATATAAGGGCTGAAATTGTTGTGCAGGCCTAGAAAGAAGCGGTTAAAAATAAACTTCTTAGACTCTTGTAACGGGCTTTCTTGCCGATTATTTTTGTTCAACCGAGATAAGGCCTGCTCTGGAAAGTTGGAGATGAGCAGTGTGGGTGGGTGGTGGCTGTCTCTCATACTTACACGACATTTTTTGTTGTTGTTGTTATGTCCAGCCCTCCGAGAACTTTGAAAGCATGCAATTGCTTTCAGATATTACCGTTCACTGAAAACATTTTGAGGAAAAAAAAAAAAAACAACTCCTCTTCTTTGCCATCATGCCCTCTGCACAGTAATTTAAATTAAATTTTAATTTAATTTAATTTAAAAATTTAAATATATACATGTATATGCATTTTTCAATTTGGTGATGTTGGGATCATTTATCCAAAACCAGGAAAAGGGTTACAGGGATTAACAGGTGCCCTTTGGGCCCCTGGGTGTTGTTGGGTTGGGGTCTTGTAGATTTACTGGAGGTTTTACCTTTCTAAATTTACATCAGGAATGGAGGTGTGGCTCCAATGGTAGAGCACCAACCTTGAGCAAAAAAAGCAAAGCAAGATAGTCAGGCTCTGAGTTCAGGCTCCTGTTCTCACACACACACACACACACACACACACACACACACACGTGTTTAAATTCTTCATAGACTTCCTATCACCTGGCTTTGTTATTGTTGTTTTTGTACCATTTTATAAGGGCAGATGTTTTTAGGAACCGATGGTAATGTGGATTGATTTTTTATTTACTTATTTATTTATTTAGTCAGTTGTGGGCCTGAACTCTGGACCTGGGCGCTGTCCCTCAGCTCTTCAGCTCAAGATTAGTGCTCTACCACTTGAGTCAAAGCATTTTCTGCTGATGTGGTGCTGAGGAGTCAATCCCAGGGCCTCATGCCTGTGAGGCAAACTCTACCACTGAGCCACCTTCCCAGACCAATGCAGAAGATTTTTATCCACAGCAATGAAGATGAATGTCCTCCAGTAGAACTATGTGATTTTTTCCAAGTTAAAAAAAAAAAAAAAAGAACTCAACCAGTCCTAGTGGTACTCCTGTAATCCCCACACTAGAGAAAACAAGTTTGTGAGTTCTAGACCAGTCTGCGCTACCGAGAGTTCTTACTGTGCAGCCTAGTTCAAAACTAAATAGTAAGACCTTGCTCAAATTAAAAAAAGAGAAGGAAACTCAATAATTGCATTTTGTCCTATATGGCTAACTAGTTAACCAGTTTGGCCTCTGTCAACACATCCATTATATTTTCCTTTGAACTTTCAGAGCTTACTAGTTCTCCTTTGAAGTCAGTATCTTATGGAGGCCCTTGTTAATTAATTGAACAGAATCTTTTATTTTAATTTTGTGTCAATCATGTTTTAAATTTGGGAAAAGTATACTTTAGCACTACCCATGTTACTCTGTATTCTGTATTTGACTGACTGAAATTTTATTTTCATGGACTCATTGTTTTGCTTCTTAAGCGCATGCGTGCGCGCGCGCACACACACACACACACACACACACACGGGGGGGGGGGGGGGGGGGGGGGGGGAGGCTCAAACTCAGAGCCTCATGTTCCTGTTTAGCTTTTTCACTCAATCACTTGAGCCATGCCTCCACTTCCTGCTTTGTGCTGGTTAATTGGAATCTTTTGGATTTGTCTGACCTGTCTGGCTTTACACTTCCATTCTCAGCTCTCAGATTCCTTAGTAGCTAGGATGACAGACATGAGCCACTAGCACCTGGCAGTAACTGATTCTTTTCTTATATTATCTGATTGTGGTAAAATATATGTAATAAACATTCATCATAGCCGGGCACCGGTGGCTCATGCCTGTCACCCTAGCTACTCAGGAGGCTGAGATCTGAGGATCGCAGTTCAAAGCCAGCCCGGGCAGGAAAAGTCTGTGAGACTCTTCAATAAACCACCAGAAAACTAGAAGTGTGCTGTGGCTCAAGTGGTAGAGTGCTCACCTTGAGCTGAAGAGCTGAGGGACAGCACCCAGGTCCAGAGTTCAAGCTCTACAACCGAAAAAAAATAAATTCATCATTTTGCAGGGTGCTAGTGGCTCACATCTGTAATCCTAGCTACTCAGAAGGCTGAGATCTGAGGATCGTGGTTCAAAGCCAGCCAGAGCAGGAAAGTCCATGAGACTCTTACCTCTGGTTAACCACCAGAAAACCGGAACTGGTTCTGTGGCTCAAGGTGGTAGACCTTGAGCAAAAGAGCTCAGGGACAGAGCACAGGCCCCACAACAAAAAAATAAAAATATATATAAAAATAAATAAAAATAAATCATCATTTTGGCCATCTCTAAGTAGGCCATTCAGTGGCACTAACAAGATTGGTGGTGTCTGCTGAAGAATTGCTTTGTGTTGTTAACTCTAAATTTGAGCTTTACAAATATTGTCCTGTACCAGTCAATCCTGCAAACCAAACTGTAGCTTCATTTAGCATGTAGCTAAACTGAACATCTGAGGAATTTGACTTTGTCACCAATAAACCACCAATGGTAGCAGATAACCCACAGTACAGCCACATTTATGTAAAGCAAACACCCTGTGGCACCAGTCCAGTTGTGCCTGGATCTCACTTCAGTTATCTAGACCTTACTTCCGTTTTCTGCACCCTGATTCCCTTTTCCTGTCCATAAATGTTAGTTACTGGCATCTAGAGTTTCACAGAACGGCTTCTGACTCTGAGGTCTGCCACGTTCATGGTTCCTTACTCATTTAAACTCTCTTTTCATAATGAAAATATCTAAAGTTTGGGATTTGTTGTGGGTTTTTTTTTAAACAGTGTACAGGGAAAAAAATTCCCATACATCTGGCCACAGAGGTATTCTGTGTTGGGTATGGAAGTATAAAAGGTAATGTTGAGGGGAGGGTTGTTTGGTTTGGTTTTGGTTTTGGTTTCTTTGTTTTTGTGCTGATCCTAAGGGCTTGAGCTCAGGGCCTGGGTGCTGACTCTGAGCTTTTTTTTGCTTTTTTCTCTTTTTTTCCATTTTTTAAATTAAAGCTTGTGTTCTACCACTTGAGCCACAGCTCTACTAATGGCTTTTTGGCAGTAAACGAGAAATGAAGAGTCTCAGGAACTTCCTGTCCAGGCTGGCTTCAAATCACCATCTTCGGATCTCAGCCTCATGAGTAGCTAGGATTGCAGCATGAGCCTTCTATGCTGCCACTGGGCCTGGCTGAGTTGTTTTTGGTTTTTTAAACCCTCCTTTTGGGTACATAAATATGTAACAATGCTTTTAATGATTTTTTTTCCAGTGGGGGGAATCAAGCCCAGAAACTCACCCATGCTTGGCAAATGTTCTACGTCTCAACCACTTCCTCAACTCTCAAACTCTTAAACAGGAAATAGGTCTTTAATGAACCAAAGAACTTTAATGACTGCATTGGATTAACTTTATATCCTCCATAAAAATCTTCCATGGGGGTGTGAGGAGGGAAGGAGTTAAGGTACAAAAAAGAAAGAAAGAGAAAGGGAGAAGGAATAGAGGGGAAAAAGAGAGAAGCTTAAATGTGTAACTTTAAAAAATATGCACACTTCAAGCTACTTGCGTATATATTAATGTAATATACAGATTTTTACAATAGTCTGTTTTAGCTTAGAACCAGTATGTAGAAATGGTTGAAGAAATGCAAAGTACATTTCTGACTATACCAGAAATGCAATGCAAACCTAGCATTTGCATTGTAAAGTATACTTTACATTTTGTTTTTCTCCTATCTATATTGTTTGTTACAATAACTGTTTCAGACATACAAATACTAGTTTTCTAGCCTATACTATTAAAAAAGTATTTTTGGAATTGGGCACTGGTGGCTCCTACCTGTAATCCTAGCTATTCAGGAGGCTGAGTTCTAAGGTTCAGTTTGAAGCTAGCCCTGCCATACAAATCCAAGGGATTCTTATCTTCAGTTAACCAGCAGAAAGCTGGAAGTGTAACATGCGTGGTGGGGGACCAGCCTTGAGCAGAAAGGACAGATGAGAGCTTGAGGCCCAGAGTTCAAGCTTTGGTTCTGGCACAAAAGATCATTTTCAAGACTAACTGT